TATGACCTCATCCTTGGTCATATGACCTGATCACCTGACTAGGCTGAGTAAGCAAGATGTTCTAGCAGGTTCCACCACAGAGGTATAAATATAAGGCCTACTCTGCCTGGGGACTGTCTCTTCAGACTTGGTCTCTTAGGATCATCCACAGGTACCTATACTGTAGATAGGTCTTAGTCATCAGGTCTACTCCACTTCCTTGTTGCCTGCTTAAACTCTTGGCACTCTTAGGTGAGCAGACTTAGTCAGCCTGTGTTGCCCTAACACTGTCACTCCCTCACCTGAGAAGCTATCTTTGCCCTCATTTGATGATGCAGATAAGCTGCACAACTGGGGTGGCAAGTTTTTTCTTTCATTAGTCTATCTATGGTACTAATGCAAACTCTAGACACCCCACCCTGCAACTTCCTTGGTCCTAACATGTCCCACCTCAAAGATTGCAAAGCCCATCTGACCCTTGACTATGCCAGTGACTCAGCATGCTCACCCACAAGCCTGACAGGTTGAGCCAGGACATATGGTCCCTTGAGCAGGCTGCAAAGTTCATGTTTGAACTGCAGTGCAAGTGGGATGAGATGGCAGAGAGGGAGAGGGAGGAGAGGTAGAAGGAGGTGCAGGCATGCTGGTGGGAGACAGTGCAGAGAGAGGGAGGAGGTGGGGATCATTCTTTCTCCCCCTCCCAGAACAACTGAGTTGCCTGGGCTCACTGCCAGGACAACTTTACGGTTTGCCACTGCCTTCGACAGCCAGCATCTGCATCACCATTGTTGTGAGTGCCCTCCCTCCAATGTGACAAATGCCATGGTGTGGTGGGCTTGGCCCTCACAACATAATTTCATTATGTACATTGAACCTGCCCTCTGCCAAACAATGCTCCCCAAGGGTGCCAGTACTGGCATAGGGAAGGTCTTTATCATCACTGCCCTGACCCAACAGCTCATGGGTGATCACCCCTTCCTCCTCAACTGCTGGTGGACCCACCAGCTCCTCCTCACACATGAGCATCTGCTCATCCACACCATGCAAATGCTTGTCCAGCTGCCCCATGGATCTGCCCCATGCCTCAAGTATGGTGAGCTGGAGAAGACATGGATGGGTGACTTTGCCCATGAATGCTGTGATCTCCTCACCCCCCTGCCCTGTGCCTACATCTGCATCATGTGGTTGCAGGTGCAGTGCAAGGTGAGGGAATTGCATGGTGTTGTCAACCTCCTCCTCTCCCTTGCCCCCTCCCTCCCCTTCTTGCCCTCCAATCCTCCCTCCCTCTGAGCCTACATCAGCACCCTCACTGACTTTGTCCCTCCTCCCTGGGCAGAGAGATTCAAGCAGGATGGTGTTCCCCTCCTCATGCCTGAATGCTGATCAACAGGGGCCAATCCATGGCACAATGTCAATGCCACAAAGGTCTGGGCACTCACTGAGTGGGAGAAGATGTGCCAAGAGCTGTGGGACAAGGGCCTCAACCCATCAATCATCACTGACTCAGTGGTGCCCTTTGAGGCAAAGGCCAAGAACTGCCAGTGCACCAGCAAGCAGGTCAATCCACACCACTGCAAGACAGCCAAGCAATGGGAGGCTGCAAGGCATGAGGCACTGGAGCAGGTGCAGGCACAAAGGATGACAGACAGGGAGTGGCACAAGCAGGAGCTCGAGGAAGACTCCTCACCCATAAACATGGCATTGCCCTTTGCTGAGTTTGTTGCCAAGTGAGACCACAAAGCTGCCTGCAAAGTGGCCTGCCTGGAAGCCAAGCAGCAAGATCTCAGGTCCATCCCCTGGGAGCATCAAGCCTTGGAGAAGCAATTCAAGCTGGAGAAGTCATGTGATTCAGTGTGCAAGCTCATGAAGAAGAAGAAGATGCATTGACAGTGGTCAACCATGTCTCACCTTGACATCCTTTGTTTTGATGAGTCTGTCCTTTTTCACCATCTTGAGGAATGTGACCAACTTCTTATATGATGAAAGCTTGATGCATTGGGTGGGGCATGGACTGGTTGAGAGGGCAGGATATGTGCTGAATAGAGAGAGAGGGAGGTACCAACAGTGGGGAATGCTGCCACCATGGTTCTCACATCATAGCCATGTGCACCCTCACAGTGACTGAGGCTGTATCGCTGTATGGTGGCCTTGCTGTGTTCAGAGGGGTTGTCCTCTTCCAGTACATCCACCTCTCCCCCACTTTCATACAGATTGGTCTTTGACCTCACCTTTACAGCACCCAGAAGATCCTTGCCCATGCATGTCTTGCCAAAGGATGGGAGGCAGAGGACACAGATGATGAGGGTGATGAAGAGGGAGGAGAGAAATTTGTACCTGGTCCAAGCAGACAAATGTCTAGCAAGTATGTCATTGGGCATTATATGTGTGTCAAAGCCTGCAAATGCATGACCACATTGCTGGACCACCTGGCATCTGTCAGAAATATGTTCTTCCTGGAGATTTGGGAGGAATTGCCCTTTCTGCCCAGGCATGCCTACTGTCATCACACCCCCTCTCCCACCCCAGCCCATATCAGTGCTCCCACACAACCTCCATGCATCCCCCTGCACTTCAAGTCGACAACTGGACCACTCTGAATACAATGACTGAACAAGGTCTGAGCCATTCCAACATTGTCACAGGCATGTTGCAAGCTTGCACGAATAAGCACCATATCTCATCACCTCAAAGGCGGCATCCTCACCAGTCTACCAACTCTTCTCTGCTATAGTCCATCAGCAAATACTTCCTATGGTTGATGTTGGAGGGTGGGGAGGAGTGGTTAATCAGGGACATTGGGACAAAGGGCTCTACTGTTGCATGGGATGCAGAGGGAGACAAATGGAGCTTGTGTGCAGACCCTGCTCATCAAGCTGCACTCATCAACTAACACCTTCTCAGCCAAGCCCATGCAACAGTCAGGCTCATTATTGGTGTAAGGGAGACCACAGCAATGGATTGGTAGAAGACATTGGAGGGTGGAACAGAGATTGGATGGATGGATAGATGGGGCCTGAGTGGTGCACCATGCTGGCACGGAATGTGTGCTGCACATTCAAGTTTCAAGCTCAAATCCAACCTTCAAAAGCCTCTTCAAACAACACCTTGAACTCAGCTGGACTGGACTATTGGAAGCAAGAAGTGAACCCTTAGACATAGCATTAGGTAATGTAGATTAGACATAGATTAGTAGTAGTCCGAAGGTCTGAACCACTCCGAATGTATATAGGCGGATTCGGATACTTTGGATAGGGACGGTCGGACTCCTCTCTCTGACTTACTCTCGACTGCACTCGTTCAAGACAGGTGATCTCTTATCTTACAACTAATGCTACTGCTTTACTTTACAGTCACTCCTTAGCCTATCTGCCTCTTGGACTGTTCCGAGTCCCGAATCCGACCTCTCATTCTTCGGAAACCACACTCGTTCGTTTCAGTCGGCTCGTTCCACTGCTCCTTTCAGTTTGAACTCCCTTCGGATTGCTGCGCCCGGCTTCGGAGCACATCCCACACCTCTCGACTTGGCATCCGAGCGGCTCTCCTACAGGAAGCAACACTCGATTAGGCCTAGTTTTGCCTACTACAACGCACGGGCTACCACTGTCGACTCCCCCTCCAGCGGACCTTCTCCTGACGCCTCATTGGGAGGTATAGAGTACGCCAAGCGGGAGTGTAGCTCTCTGTAAGGCCGTCCAAAGAAAGGTGGCTCATGAAGGCTTGCTAAGGCTGAGGTCTGCTGGGTTTGCCGCTTGCGTCTTTGCGAAAGGGCCGGGCGAACACGCTTCGTTTCGGGATCTAAGGGCTTCTTGATCTACCTCTGCTGTTGTACGAGTACTCTCACCTCACTCGTTCACCGAGCTGTACGACGCCGCTCCCCGACATCTCCAACCCGAACACCGAAACTAGTTCCTTGTCTCTCTTATTTCCCATCACTCCATCGACGGCCCCACTCCTGGAAAAGCTGCATCTACCTCGGCGCCTATCCTCCCCCACCTCTGCATCAACATGCTATTCTTCCACCGGATGACCGAGTCCAAAGTCACAGCCAGGCTCGACAAGCTTAAGCCTGACGATATTCCAAGAGCAGTAGATATCATCACCAAGTATATCGACTCCAAGCGCCGGCGGGGGAAGGAAGATGCGTATGTTGTTGGCAAACTCGAACGTTTGGAGGTGAGTCCTCTCCTTGGACTTTGCTGGCTGAACCTGAGCTCTTGGGAGAAACGATATGTAGATAACGACAAGCTATATGAAGCATTCCGTTTAGCTCGCGTTCGAGCGTCACTGCCCTCGCTGGCAAGCACCGTCCTGACAAACTGGAGCAAAACCCAGCTGCTCCCCCCTCCTCCTCCAGACTGGTGGCACTCAATACAATCTCTCCTAGAGTCCGACTCTCCGCCTTTCGTCGTCGAGTACCCATCAAACTCCGATCCGAACTCCCTCTCTGCAGACGACCCAGCCAAAAGACCGGCCCGTCCCTCACGGAAGGAATCCCCTCCTGGGGCATTTTTAGGCACCCCAGCTTCGATCGGCACGATCTACATGAACGGGGGCTCTCTGACCAGTTCTCCAGCTCCCTTATCCATCAACCCCGGTCCGCCCGAAAACCCCGGCCCGGCACGTCCTCCTAATCGACAATCTATCCAAGGCTCGACGATATCAGAAGGAACGGTGTATCGTTATGGCGGATCGGTCCACTCTTCGTACCCATCTCCGGATGGTCCAGCCCAGCCGAGCCCTCAAGTAAGGATGGACTCTCAAGCGGTGCAAGCACCTGGAAGGGTGCGGACAAATCGTTACCCCCTGCCTGTCGAGCCCGGAGAAGGCCGCACTTTAGCGTCTGCTACCCTGCCCTTAACGGGTATCCCCCTGCCCTTAACGGGTGTCCCGATGCCCTTAACAGGCTTCCCGGGTCCAAACAGACCATCCCCGCGAAATACTCCACTACAACCCTCCCCGTTGGCCGACCACCACTTCAAGACGTCACTGACGCGCCTTCATCGGGCATGTGGCCCGATGATGCCCGAGCTTCTCCAATCTTTGCTCGAGCACCGTCATATCAACATTCACCCAATCCATCGAACAGCGAAGAACGTCTCTCCAGAACAGTCGGTCGACCGACTTCCGTCAACAATGAGTCACCCGAACAAGATTTCCCCCCTCCAATAGCTCCCACTCCGCCGAGTGTGGACTTGGAGCGTAGAAGCGCCTCCCCCAACGGGAGCGAGAATTCCTCGGATACTATTCTCGAGAGCGGTGGTTCTCTTAAAGATGAGGACGAGGTTCCAGACGTGGGGGATGTCTAGCTTGTCATCTGATTGAATTCCAACGTCTGTGAGTACTCGAAAAGTCTCTTCAACAGTCTCCACTCACCCTACCTCGCTTTTGTGAGCAGACAGGCACTGGCAGTCTGGTCCTCACATTGCCGCGTTTCAAGTGCGCGTGCTGCGCAGCCAAGCAGTCTGTCTGTCCCCAATACCAGTACAACTTATATCGTCATAAGACTCAGCTCGCCATCCATGTGGCTTACTTATGCCTCAAGCATATCACACTTTTCGGGGAATCGCATAGGCTGCCAGGCAACCAGAGGCCGAAGGAAATTGACTCAAAATGCCTGTAAACTCTATATCAACAGGTAAACTCTCCTTTTGAGAGCGTTCACTTCAGCCTTCCGAGGGTGGTGTCATCACAAGTGAGAACCAATTATGGACATGTTGGTCGTCTATCTTTTCCACATCCAGCTGTAATATGATCTATCTTTATATGATTGAATGTAGTGTTTGGCGGTGCGAAGCCACAACTGTTCCCCATCAAACTGCTCAGACACCGGCCGGTTAACACCGATGTGGTGGAATCGTAAAGCCGATATGTGAAGAAGTTAGGCGTCGCTCACATGTCGAACGCACAACTCGATGGCGACCTTCCACAGCCTGCCGCCAGAACTTCTACTTCCAATACTCACTCCGTTACCTGAGAGTAGCCTCGTACTCTGTGCATCTGTGAATCGTAATTGGAATGCGTTCGCGACTCCGCTTTTGTATAGACGCGTCGCCGTCTACAGCTGGCATTGTAATGCAAAGACCCGGGTGCGCCGGCGATTCATGTGTGCCAATCATACCAAAGCTGATAACTGCAGGCTGCATCACTTATGCGAACTCTTGCCGAGCGATCAGAAGTTGCTAGATGGGTGAAGCATATTGATGTACGG